TGCTCGATGATTTTTTGTTAGTACATTTTAATGGAAATTCATAATTCGTATATAAAACTAGTATTTCTAATCTCATTTATGAGTACATGTAATTGATTTGTCCTAAATTAAAATTTTATACTTTATTTTCTCAGTTGATTGAGTAATGTTACTTTCAATTAGTGATTCTGCCTGTTATTGATAATAAATTATTATTAATAATTTAAACCACTAATCAATGGGATTATTAATGGTGTAAAGTTAAATAACTAAGGTTCATATTGTTTGTAATTGCTTTTTGAAAAGTATTAATACAGAAAGTGTTTTGTAGTTATAGTTATAATACTACTAAAATAGTTAAATCACTACCTATTAACTTCGAGTAAAATGAGTAAGTACTGTATAAACTAAATTAAATTACTAAAAAATTTGTTTAATTAAATATTGTATTATTTAACAAATTAATATATTTTTTAAATCAATCCAGATCAACTATTAATTGTCACATTATTGACACTATTCGGTGGTATAATAGCCAATTATGTGTGTCCACCTAACCTTGATATATTTCTACCATGTGAATGCCGTGTTGACCCTGGCATACTGCCCTTATACAGAAGCATTGAGTGTAAGGGTGACCAACCCATCAATCTGACGGCCCTTTTCCAGAGACTGAGCCATGAATTAAAAGCCGATGAAAAAGATTACCTCTATTTCATGCTATTTAACAAAGCGGTGGACGTATTGCCGGCTAATGTTTTCGCTGACATCACATTTCAACATGTCGAGTTAGATGGTAAAAATTTGACCAAGGTGCATCGCTTAGTTCTCAACGGAACACAGGATACGTTGAAAAGTTTAGAAACTTTAAACCTTCCGCTTGTTGATGGGAACGGCGATTGGGACGTATTTAAAGCGATTAACCTTGCGCATAATTTAAGTGACGTCACCCTCTTGTATACTAATTTGACCAAGATACCTGACAATGCACTACAATCGCACCCAAGTCTCGAAAGGATTGAGATTTTGATGAGTCCGTCCATCACGAGTATCGGTAGGAATGCCTTCAAAAACCTGACAAAAGTAGAGTTCATTAGTATCGAGGCTCACGTCAAAGATATAGGCGATGAAGCCTTTGCTGTCAGTCACGTGTCCACTGATCAGACCTTATGGTTGTCCTTCATTGGCAATAATCTCAACAATCATACCCTCCGTAAAGAGGTGTTCAATGGTATCAACCGTCCCGTCGACCTCAATGTCATGTTAAATGACCTGAAGTTCATCGAGGAGTCGACTTACGAGGCATTCCTACAGCAGAATCCCAACCATACTATCCATTCGGACACCGAATGTATGGACAGTCGTAACGATTGGTTGCGTCACAAGTATCCCAACCAATGGGTGGACAGGAATTGTTGAATTATTTTAAAATCTAAAATTAATGTAAAATTAATATATATATACAAAAAATTGAACATTAAAATTTTACAAAGCATAATATGACTATGATATTCTTTATAACATGCCAAGTTCAAATACAAATACATTAGTTTGAACTGTTGGCACACTTTGTTAAAAGATATTAGTTACTTGATTCAAACTTTTTATATAAAAAATATAATTAACGTTAAAATTTAATTGAGATTGCTGCTCAAATTAATTGCGATAGTTGCTCAGGGTTAATTGAAAAACTAAAATAATTGACACAAAAAGAATTTTAAGCTATTTTATTTATGTGATGGGCAATTTTATTAATTCACAATTGATCGTCTACATGCATAAAAGAGTTATGTATTTTTCAATTCAAACTATACATAACATAATCATTACATTTATAGTATCTAATATTGTTTAGTAATTTGAGAAATGCAATGATTATGTTATGTATACAGTTTGCATTAAAAAATACATAACCATTTTAAGCACCCAGTGGATCAATTATTGTTATATTCAGGGAACGAGATCTGGACATCCGACCCGATATCTTGCTTTTTTGCCGAGCTTTAGAATCCCTGCAGGAAATTAAAAATTGGCATAAATTGCCACTAGTTTTATACGGGTTTAGACCTACTTTATTAGCGCCTGAGCCTAATAATCATTCATTTAGTACTTTATGAACAATATCTGTGTCACAGGTGTGTCAG